CTTTCCCTAGGCTATGCCACCCAAGCAGGGGACAGTGTACAGAAAGGAAGTCCTCTCTAGGGTCCCAGCTATTCATGTGCTTGCACCAGGTCTAAGAGTGGTTTGACCACACGCTCATAGTAAGACAGGCAAGATCAGCAAGCAACCTGACCAGCCTCGCATATGCACTGAAGCATCAGCAGCAGCTGTACTGAATATCCAGAGGATGGCTGCTATTATTCCTAAAGCCATGCTCTTCATGACCCAACAGAGAGAAGTAGCCAAACTTGGCTTACAGATCTTCATGTCTGTACAATAGCATTAAGCCTGGAATGTAACCTTTATTCAGAAGGGCTCTATTACCAGCAGGGCAAACCCAATACTTCGCAAGGATGTTTGATTTGGGGAAACAGGTATAAAACTGTGCAAGTCTAAAAAAATTAACAGAGGAAAAACCCAAAAAACAGTAAGGGTCGGACAGTCAGTGATCTCAGTTTAGATGATGTGACCTGAAAGAATCAATGGAAATCTGACTGTACCTCATGATCCACCCAGTCACAGTAGTAAGAGAGAAGGATTACATTCAGCTTGATGCTATCTCGTGGGGTGGGGAACTGCAGCCACTAGCCCACTTTTCTTCCCCTACTCAGATGATCCTCAGCCCCCTCTGTAGGTGGGAAGACACTGCTCACAGCCATTTATCTCACTTGCTATCTTTTGGAAAGACAAAGAATTTTAACCCACCTCTTACAGAGAAACCCTCTTGATCTGTGGTTTTCAAGGTCAGTGTCTCTAAAACACATGTTCCAAAACCCTGGAAAGCAGAGCGAGGAAGACATACCTTCAGGAAGACGTCCAGGTCTATTACTCCCCGCCTCAAGGCTTCTCCCAGGTAAAAGATAGTGTCTTCAATAGCATTTTCCTCTGCATACAGATTTAGGATCTGTTTGTATAGTGGGGCTGTGGGAATGATAACTTCATCAATATCATTGTTTTCAGATTGATTTTCCATTTTCTCCAGAGCAGAACTGAGTTCTTCATCCTTCTTTCTCAAAAGTTCTATGTTTTTATCAACCTCAGCCTGAAAACAGAATAGTCCAAGCATGATGATTTTATACTAATTGTAATTATCTGCTTGTCAGACATCTACAATTCAACTTCACAGAAACAGACTTGCTAATAAAACAATGCTTAAACAACTCATGGATGAGATTCATGTATCACATTAATCAAAGTTAGAGGAAAAGGTGTGCTCTAACGTGCTGAGTGAAAACAGGAGATGCTGAGCTGAGCACTTTTGGTGGCAGTGATAAGCTTGTCACTTACCAGTGACAAATGATACTGCAAACTAAGCCCTCAGACAAGACACTTTCCAGCAGGAGGTTCCTTACGTGAAAATCATAAAGGAGGTCCTTCTTTCAAAACAAGTGGCCATCTGCCTCAGAGGAATAACTTTCCCCAGTCTGTACAGATGATTCAACACATAGAACTCCAAACAGTTGAATTTTATTCACAAGATACAGCAGGTGGTAGTTGCAGGCTCTGAACTGTACTGGTGTCACTTTGGTGAACTTTTGAAAATAGCTGGCTATTGAGAAGCTCACTTTACACACTAGAACCATTTTATTAATGTGTACATACATCACTTTCTCCAAAGCCCTCAAACACTTAAAACTCTTTACCCTTTCATCAAAAATGCACACTTGCTGGAACAAATTCTCCATCACAGGAATGAAAGTGAAGAGTGAAGCTGGCACTCAAATTATGCTAGTGCCTCTAATCACTAAACAAAAGAAGTCACAGGGCTGACTTGACTCATAAGGGCACAGCAGTCTGATAAAAATGTGAGAAAGCTTAAGAGCTAAAGGTTGCATACACTCTGGGTTATTAAGTTAGAAGGGCTCACCAAAGATACTTTAAATATAGTTCAAACAACATTTGGAAACAAAAAAGAACTGACCCTTAAGTTTGTACCCAGGGTCTGCAGATCTTTATCACGACTCAGAGCTCTCTCAAATTCTTATTTCCTAGTAACTGTCTGGTAACATCAAGCGCTCAAACAGCCCTCCTTTGGGTCAAAACATTATCCCCCGGCGTGAAGGTGCAAGCAAAAATCCTCTACATCCACTCCCCAATCAAAGACTACATTCCAACCACAGGCTGCATTTTTTTTAACAAAGCTGTAGAGGAGCTATGTGAAAGTGCCTAAAGGTGTGTATAATTTTCGGAACTCTTTAACTATACCCACAATGTTCAGGGTAACCACAGTACATACAGAATACTTTGCCATGGCTATGATTCAATCTAAATAGTACAACTATTCAATGAGTTACTTACTACTTCTTGATCTAAACGGGTAACCATCTCTTCCAGTTTCTGGTGACCTTTTTTCAGGTCTTCCTCTGTTCGTTTCAAGGCATTGAGCTCTGCCTGGGCACGATCCATTTCCTCCTTCATCCGCCATCTCAGTTTGTCACTGACTGCTGAGATGAGAGAGGCTCGGATAGTGTCCTCGCTGATTGTGCCATCCCTACTGGGACCTGCAGGAGAAAAAGGCAGAAACACTTGCTTATTTCCCAATCTCTTTCTATTCCTTTCACAAGAGCCATCACAAAACAGGACAAAATATGAGTCAACACTTTCAAAGTGCGAGGAAAGAAAAATTTTATGTCACAACTTCATAAAACATAACATTTAAAACCTGAGTTGATTCAGAAATACTTTCCCTGCAAGAGATTACTATTAATCCATATTTACCCACTTTCTTGCCTTAACGGCCCAAACAATTAGCTATTTTCTCCATGAGGCAGAGGCTCTATCCCTACAGATTACAGTTATTCCTAAGTCCCCAACAAATGGGACAACAAATTTATACCAAGGTAAAACATTTGATTCAGGTCCAGTCTATTCTCAGGCTTTACTGGTAAGCTGAAGGAGGAAGGAACCCACGCTAGAGGCCAGTAAGACTGAGAATGGGCAGAGTTTCCTTAAACTAATATACAGGTTAACACGGCTTCCCTTCTGTAAGACTTTTACTCCTTTACCCTTTACGAAAAGAACAGGAAAGAGCAGATGTGCAAAGGAGAATGCCATCCAAAAAATTCAACAGCTGATAAAATTCTGCTTATTCTCAGATTCTTTACTCTTCTCTCCCAAATGTACCTTCCCAATCAGTGTCTTATATAAAACTTACTCCTCAGATATTTTCTCCAAAAGGTCCTCCCTTTTAACATAAGTATGGATACTCTTTATGACTGTCAATGTTCTTTAGTTAGGGTCCTGAATCAGCAAATGATAAATGGTATTTTCAATTATGTTTGATGATGGAATACACGTGGGGAATTATACTTACCTTTATTGTTTACAATGAATAAAGAATGATTACAGATTAACAGAAAGTATCGCTTCCACTTTGAGCTGAAAACTGTTATCACCTTGACGCTGAGTTCTGCTTACTAGGGGGAAAAAAACCCTTCGAGTCATTTTGTAAAAATGTACCCAGAGTCTCACCACTCATGTTCCCATCCATTATAGGCTCCTTCCTGGTACCATGCAAAGTTGACTGTTTCTACAAGGAAACTGCACTGTCCAAACCACACCGCAACCAGCGCCACCTGTGCTCTTCAGCGTCCCATCTGATCACAACTGTCGCTATTCCATACAATGGTCTGGTCACTCTACTTTTTGTGGTTTTTGATTCGTAAAGTTGTTTTCTCCCAGAAGTTGGTCCATACCCAGGATACCCTGAGTGCTTTTCTGGGCTTTTGTAAATGACACTGGGAGACCTTGGAGTTCTCAGGTGTTATAGGTTTCAAAAAAAGAGTCTAAATCTAGAGTTGTGTTTTTTCCCCCTCTTTTTCTTGTTTCCACCACCGAAGAACTATGTTTTATTTGACCTGGGTTCTACTAAAATGAGTAAAGACAGTGTCTCCCATGGCCAGGTTTTCCTGAGGAGTGTCATTCGTCCATCTGCCCTAAGGACACTGCTTGTACATGGTGAAAGGAAAAGCCCAATATCAGACTCTCCCACTTACGAGTCTCCCTCTTTCCTGCTAGAAACCTCCTGCTGAGGAGAGCCCAAACAGTATCCATCCTCCAGTGTTTACAAGGAGGCAATTAATACTTCTGATTGATTGTTAAAATACAAATCCATATATTATATGCTTTTCAGAGTTCACTTCTGATTTTACAAAAATATGTCAGCGTATTATTCCGTATTTCTGAGAAGCAAAACTATTAACTTTCAGACAGTGTGTGCTCTGGAATTCAGAGTTGTAAAGCCAGAGGGCAACCTGAGGTCTTGTTTTTCACATCCCTGGCCTCTGACACCTGACTTTTCCAAAGTGTTATCAATTTACCAGCTACTGCATCACCTCTGGGCTCATTCCACTCACATTTTCCTGTCATTTTCCTCTCTAACCACCTCTTTATTCACAACCTCCTGTATAGACACCAGGATGACTCTAGCAACCTCCCCAAATTCATCAATTCTTATCTCCACTCATTCCTTTTCGTACCTTCGACCTCCCTTTCTTCCACTCCTGGTCCCAGTATCTCCCCTCAGTCCCAACTCCTTGCCCATCTCTCTTAGTCCTGTATACAGGCTGCCTGCCATGGCAGCCCCTCTCTCATTCTGTCAGATCACCAGGACTTATAATTCCAAAGGCCTCACCTGCCATAACCTAACCCAAATCCTCAATCCTTTGGATTCTTTCTTAAAGCCTTAAGCCCTCCTTTTACCATTTTCCCACAAAGGCAAAAAAAATCCTCAGAACATCTTCAAGGATTGAAAGGACCAGATGGGAGTCTTCCACTCTCTTCTCCCATTCTGCTTTGGAACAAGAATCCTAACCCTTTAATTATGTGCTTCACTCCTCACCATTCAAAAGTACTCGCCTCCCTTTCCCAGCAAGACAACTTGCTTTTCCTCTCAGTATGATTTAAAGACTTCGCTGTTTTAGGCAAAACAGCTGTTTTATTCTCTGATATAAATTGCACCAATGTTTCCTTAGGTCAGTCTCCCAAGGCAATAGAAATAAAAATGAAAATAAACAAATGGGACCTAATCAAACTTACAAGCTTTTGCACAGCAAAGGAAACCATAAGCAAACTGAAAAGAACCTACAGAATGGGAGAAAATATTTGCAAAAGATGTGACCAACAAGGGCTTAAAATTTCTAAAATATACAAACAACTCATATAATATAACTCAACAACAACAAAAAAAACAACCCAATCAGAAATGGAGCAGAAGACCTAAATAGACATGTCTCCAAAGAAGACATACAGGTGGCCAATAGGCACATGAAAAGATGCTCAACATCGCTAATTATTAGAGAAATGCAAATCAAAACTACAATGAGGTATCACCTCACACCAGTAAGAATAGCCATCATTAAAAAGTATACAAGGGCTTCCCTGGTGGCGAGGTGGTTGAGAGTCCGCCTGCCGATGCAGGGGACACAGGTTCGTGCCCTGGTCCGGGAAGATCTCACATGCCGCGGAGTGGCTGGGCCTGTGAGCCATGGCCGCTGAGCCGGCGCGTCCAGAGCCTGTGCTCCGCAACGGGAGAGGCCACAACAGTGAGAGGCCCACGTACCGCAAAAAAAAAAAAAAAAAGTATACAAATAACAAATGCTAGAGAGGGTGTGGAGGAAGGGGAACGTTCCCACACTGTTGGAGGGAATGTAAGTTGGGGCAAATGTAAGTTGGTGCAGCCACTGTGGAAAATTATGGAGGCTCCTCAGAAAACTAAAAATAGAACTACCATATGATCCAGCAGTCCTACTCCTGGGCATATATCCAGACAAAACTATAATTCAAAAACATAACATGCAACCCTATGTTCATAGCAGCACTATTTACAATAGCCAAGACATGGAAACAACCTAAATGTCCATCAACAGATGAATGGATAAAGAAGATGAGGTACAATATATACAATGGAATACTACTCAACCATAAAAAAAAACACGAAATAATGCCATTTACAGCAAGATGGATGCAACTAGAGATTATTATACTAAGTGAACTAAGAGAAAGACAAATACCATATGATATCACTTATATGTGGAATCTAAAATATGACACAAATGAACCTACGTATGAAACAGAAACAAAGTCAGGGACATATACAATAGACTGGTGGTTGCCAAGGGGGAGGGGAGTGGGAAAGGACAGGAGTGGGAGTTTGGGATTAGCAGATGCAAACTGGTATATATAGAATGGATAAACAAGGTCCTACTGTATAGCACAGGGAATTATATTCAATATCCTGTAATAAACCGTAATGGAAAAGAATATGAAAAAGAATGTATATATAACTGAGTCACTTTGCTAATTAACATCATCAACTATACTTCAATTAAAAAAGACAAAAAAAATGACTTAGCTGTTTATTTGTACAGAATTTATGCCAAACCAAAATCTCTAGTTTCTTATATCGCACTATTAAGTCCTAAGTGAGAGTAAAAAGGTAATTTCTACAAGTTTAGAATTTTGTGCCCAAAGGATGATTTACAAAATAATGACTAGTGGAGATGGTATCTCATTAAGTCCCCATTTTATGATAGATGCATTAACAATAGGAATTTAAAAACTTGTTTCTAAAAGAACTTTCTTATTATATCCTATATGAAATGGTTCCTGTGAGATACAACAAACCTTCTCCCGGAGACTGGGGAACCCAAATTATATGAATATGGTTAGGTATTCAAATGTCTGGTCAGTCATATGTAGCAGTTAGTGTCCCATTTATCTGTGCAGAAGTTATCTAAACTAATACAAGCTTAAGGGTGTTTTTATAACTATTTTTCACACACAACCATATCAACAAACTTTGTTAAAATTACTACATTAAAATGAATCAAGGGACTTAACCTGGTGTCGCAGCGGTTAAGATTCCAAGCTCCCAGTGCAGGGGGCCCGGGTTCAATCCCTGGTCAGGGAACTAGATCCCACATGCATGCTGCAACTAGAAGTTCACATGCCACAACTAAGGAGCCTGCTGGCCACAACTAAGACCCAGCACAACCAAATAAATAAATAAAATAAATATTATAAATAAATTAAATGAATCAAGTTATAATGATGTTGAATTTTCAAAAACCAATTTTTAAAAACACACTTAAATCCTGGAATTTACATTCTGTTTCTCTTATAAAATACGTTAAGGCAAATGCCACAATACAGGGCCAAATAAGTCCTTCCAAATAAGTCTCCAGCTAAAGCCATTAACATTCAAAATGGGAATCAAGCTGAGGCAGCAGTCACTTGGCTTTCTATAAAGGTCACAGTTCACCCGAGGAGGCTAGAAATGCCAAGGTTAGACCTAGTCCTCTCCTCTATCACACAGAGACCTTATTATACAGTATATTTGAACACTTTAAATCCATCTACTTTCTAAAAAGAAGAAACAAACTGTAATTAAGATCTGCAATGTGAATGCCAAGAGAAAAACCCAGATTAAAGTTCAAAATTGAATGAACCATGACACTTTAAGAGATTGTTTATATAAACAAGTAAGAAAAACGTTTGGTAG